GATTTGTTTTAACCTTTTCAGAAAGTGCAAATCAAGCATTCCAGAGCTTTCATTAATATTACAGCTATTTTCCTCCTTTGCATTTTCACCTAACTGACAATAGAGTATTGCACGGCTTATTTTAATTAAGTCTATTGTTATCGTTCTAAAGTCTATTCTTCATTTTCGGGAAGCACACTGTAACATTGGGTTCGATAAGTCCTATACAAATAAACTTTATTATTGTCATTGTTGTTGGTGGCTAAGATGATTGACTTTTTGACTGTAGCAATGTAACAAAATACCTCAATTTCATTTGCAATTTCTACATATTGGCTAGTGGCTGCTGCTCAGGAGGCTGAGCAGGTCATCTACTAAGAGGAAGGTTGGTGGTTTGATTCTTGGCTGCTCCAGTCCGCATGCCAAATCGTGCCTTAGCCAAGATGCTAACCCCAAGTTCCGCTCCAATGCATCCAGCAGAGTGTGAGTGTTGGATAGAAAACACTTAAAAAACATAGAATAAAGTGTTTGTATGAATTTGTGTGAATGTTGGCAAGCGGTATAAATTGCTTTGAGTGCTCAGGCAGAGTAGAAAAGCCCTACATAAGAACCAGTCCATTGGCAATGTAAGTGTTTCTGCATAAATAATTTGTTGATGCCTGTTTGCAGTGAACTGTTGTTATGTAATGCTGGGCCTCTTCTGTACTGTGTAGCAAATTTCTGGAAAAATGCTGTGATTGAGCCACTGATTTTTTTTTTAAAGCCCATTTAATAATTTCAAATGCTTTTTTTTTTTTTTTTTAAATCTAAGAGTGAGGTCCCCTTTTGTTTGCGCAGATGTGGATGACGCAGTTCACTGTCCTGCCAACAGTTATCACGTTTTTCAAGGAGTGATGGTAACACCAGAGACATGCTGTAATGCGAGGCAGGTAACGAGGAGAATGCTAGCCAGTAAAAAACTGACGCAAAAATATTGAATTAAACATACCCTGAAAAACCTTTATTGGGGAGGAAAACACGACTGTTAAAGCTCAAGAATAAATAAACATGCTGTCATAATCTGACGCATACGTCTATGTTTTTGTGATTGTATGCATCTACTTTTGTTTTTTGTTGTGAGTTTTATACAATAAGTGGTACTTAATGTCTGTTCAGTATGTTACATGGCTCTGTTAATGTTGATCAGTGCTATCAACCTGCCATGGATTGCAGAGGAAAATTAGCTTATACAGCTAAATCTGGCATATTTACATTAAATGGCTCTCACGCTCATGTTTACAATAGTGCAATGTCCCTTTTGGATAAATTTAAATATATGAATGATGGTGAGTTACAGTGACAGTAAACAAAATATCTGTTTACAATAAAATTTTAAACTGTCATTTGAGAAAACTACAAAAACAATTCGACACTTATTTATTCTGGTGGCTTATCATGTAGATTTTGGTGGTGAAACTTCAAAGATGTGAAAAACAATTAGGTAAATTAATATTATTTACCCTGTTTAAACACACCAGTAACTTAACCTTAGCAAAATAAATGACTAGTCATTGACCTGCTTAATCACTATTATCTAGTGCAGCATTAAGTATAAATTCTCTAAGATGCATCTTTACTGGTTCTGTTTCACTCATTAATCAATAGTAGCAGAGCTGTCATGTAACAATTTGGGGTCAGTGTATTGCCCAAGGAAACGTAGCACGGGATCAAACAACCAACCCTGCATTTAATGGACAACCTGCTCTATCACCTGAGCCACAGCCATCACACGGTCAGTTTTCTTCAGTGGAATACCCAGCCATAGATAGAATCACAAACAAACTACTATTTATTTCCACATCTCAGCTGTGGTGGGCAACAAATCCTGGGTCATTTTTTGCACCTACCCAACTGTTCTTGTAAGCAAAATGCTACTTAAATTACTAGATCCACCATTTAAATACACAATAAATTATTACTAAATGAAGTGCAAGATTAAATCATTATTACTAAAATTTTTAGAAACTAGGTCACATCTGCCTGTGTTGTTAGTGAAGGCTTAGGTGAAATTTCCAGGTGAAACCTCAGAAGAAGGTCAGGGAAACAGGACAAACCTGCCCAAACAATCAGTATTTGGGTAAAATATCCTGATCTGTTTAGCCCCAATACCATGTGAGAGCTACACTGAAATACTAGAAATTCTTCATCTTTTTCAGAGGGATTCCTATGAAACCCTCTTACTTTGTCAAGAAAATGATGGTATTACTTTAAACATAGTTTGAATTGGAGTTATTGGGTAGCCTTTTGATCACTTTAACTGTAGACGGGGATTCAACAGTCAGTCAAACATTATCGAAATGTTAAAAGGGATGTGACAGATTTCTTGACTCTCGAAGAGTTTCTAATGTTGCAGAAGTTAGGATTTTCAAACTGGGGACTTTAATGGGACACCAGTTAAAATACAAAAGGAACAAACACCAGGTCTAATTTCTTCATGAACAGTCTGATATGTTACATTATATCAACAATATTACAATATTAGAATGTTATCAGAACGACACAGATGTGCCTTTTTCTTATGGAGTCATAAACCTCCATAAAAAATACCACCAGAAGACAAAATGTTCTTTAAATAAACCAGCCTTCCCATTACATGATGTAATCACACAGTGGCCCAGTGTTTTATAGATACTGGTGCTTATTTTCCTCCCAAACCAACAAATTAACATTGTCAGGGAAGGGTAAGGTGGTCCTTTAAGGGAGAAATCCCAACATATACTTAGAGGATTTGTGTACAGACTGTACTGCCTATAACGCAGGCCGATTGATGTTTATCCCACCTTAACTTTTTCGCGTGGGTGTTCAATGGTCGTGCTTGTGTCTGAGGCGAACTGGCATATGACATAACATCTAATGAGTCCGTCTGCCATCATTTTACAATTCACTTATCTGGTAATAACAATACTCACCCTCAGAGCTGCGAGGTCTATGTCATCCAGGCTTCTTGTGGGGGCGTTTTCAGACATAGCTGGCGAAACTTATCACGCTGGCTAATAAGTTAGCCGCTAATTTGACAAGAAGTGCTTAAGGAGGATTTAAGCGGCCGATCACGCGAGGTTATAACGGCCTAAACCCAGGGGAAATACAGCAAAGTGGCGGTCCAACACGCAGGAGCTGTAGCACTTAGATTAGCAAATGCATCGCAGAGAGCGGACAGACGCACCCAGCTGGCTAGCTCACGTCAACTCTGACCGAAAGCTGTAAATGTTATTCGCACTTGTTTTACATTAATGCCGCCTGCGGCAGCTAATCAAATCGCATGCAACTTAAAAAGTAGGATTTTTTTAGACAGGCTGTCAACGTTGCTGTTAGCCGCCCATTTGATATCGATCTAACAACTGGCAGGTTTCAAATGCAGAGCACCTCCGCTGTTGTTGAACACCTTGCTGCGTTCATTTTGACAAGACGCCGCTTCTCCCCTGCTCTCCAACATCCCAGCTAATCTCACATATGATACACCGATGCGTGTCACCGAGGGGGGAGAAGAAGAAGAAAAACAACTACCAGACAGGTGTTGTGTGCTACTGAAACATTCCTACTTACACTGATAAAGTATGCTATTTTTTATTATTATTATTTACGGTTTAGCAGCGCAGTGATTGTTTTACTAAGAACGCAACGTCTGATGTGATGGCGTCCCCGGGTCCGTCCGCACCGCACCAGAACCGACCGTCAGGCTCTCACCGTTGGCCTTAAACCTCCCGGGATTTTGTCACAGATTAGGAGCGTGGGGAGGAAAAAATGGAAAAAAGGGCCTCGTTTCAAATGCGATTCCCTGCGGCTGCAGTTGTCAAACTTGTTAACGCGAGTTAAATTCGCCCCCCGGGTTTCGTCCAGAGCGCACAAATAATCCGAATACCGAGTCAGGTGTGTGCGGTTAATCTAACGTTTAACTGGCCGGCTGGCTAACGCAGCTAGGCTAGCGAGCTAAATTGTCTTTTCCAGAATAAACTTTCCCTTTCCTTCTTCATCCATTTTCTGTGTTGACAGTCGCGCCTAGCACTGCCAACCTTCCGGGGGAAAACACGGGCAGACGAGCAGGCACTGTGTTATCGGCAGCCACCGTAATACTTGTAAGCCTGAGCACTCGACGCTTCAAAGTTGAGCGCTGCCGTCGATCTCCGGCGTCCAGATTTTATGAACTTGCAGTCATAGTCCGCCACTGCTAGAATCGGTGCAGTTTCTAACTGCGGTATAGCCGCCAAACTTGTTATTTCGCCATGTTTTGCTTCCCAAGTCCACTCCTCCCTCCCACTCGCAGCCTAGATGTAGTCTTGTTGGGTTTGTACTGACGATTGGCTGCACGCAACACTCCTGAAGTGTTTTCTCTTCTCGACTGGCTACGGTGCTTCATCAGGGACAAATTACCCGAAATTACAGTGGACTTCAGCCTACGCAGCTGCCTCTCTTGTTTGAGCTGCACAGCTAAGATCATCCCTAGGCATACCTGTCCTGCTCTGGCCTTCTGGGTCACTGGATACACGTTTAAGGCTAAAATACTGCTGAATAAACAATGCAGATTTGGGTAATAAGTGCCACATCTAACAAATATTCTTCCCGTCTTGGTTTTATGTGTGCGTCATCCAGCAGATTGGAGATTGTTATAGTCAGTTTTCCATTAGAGCAAGCTCACCTTTATAGTGCTTGTCAATACTGCATGAATCAGTTCCAAAGCTTTTCCAGATAAGCACCTGACTGTTATTAAAAGAAGAAGAAAAAAAAAAAACAGACTGTATGGCAATAACCTGAACAATGCATTAGTCATTTAGTGAACATTAAGCTTTCATGCCACGAATCCCAGTTTCCTGTGTAAAGCACATGCTCTCTCTTAGAGTAACTATTTGCTTAAAGGATATCCAGCTAACAAAGGATATTGCTTCCATGGTGACAAAAGTAGTTTAGATATAAACAATTAACATTTCCCCTTTTCTGTTTCTCTTGCCATGTGATAGACACGTCTAGACAGTCATTTTAGTTGCGTTAAGATTTTATACAGAATAGAAATGCATGCTGATACACATTTGAAAGTTTTATTTTTTAAATATATTAAATCCAGTTTGAATGCAGTCTTTTCTTTTTAAAAAGAAAGCACTAATGTTTACAAAAGTAATACAAGAGAAGGCTGAAAAAAGTAAATTTTTCAAACAGAGTAGATATTCGGATATAAAAAACAAGTTCATGTTAAAAAAAAACAGAATAAAATACAAGTTGCTCATAATTGCACTAACAAGACTAAGAATATTGGTCATCGCTCTCTACCCCTGAGTGTTAGTAACCCTATACATTAGTAATTATAAGGTAATGACATTGATCTACAGAGACAAGGTTTCACACAGTGACTCTCAGGAATGAATACAAACACATTTCAATGAGTAATAAATTCATAAAAGTGGTTTGGGAATGCTGATTATTGGTCTATTAAAAATAAAATTCATGAGAGAAACCGTATAAGGTCACTTTTCGGTATATTACAGGCATTTCTGCAGAACTTAAAAGGAACACCAGTTAAGACAACCACTTTGGGCTGCAAGAAAGAGGGTAGAAAATATATATATGGAAGGGCTTATAGTGTCTTTTAATATCTTACATAGGTAAGCATCCATATTTCTAAACACAGATGCTTTAACTGAACAACAATCCTGTGAGACACTTCATGTAGACTTGGTCGCATGGGGCACCTGTCCCATTCACAGACAGCTTTGCAATGGAACCGCCAAGGTAATGTTTTTCACTCATAGGTGTGTGTCAGAAGCTCATACAACAGTCTGGATTATTCACTTAACTGTGATTTACTGTCATTGCATTGTTCTGGGTCATCTTTTATCTGGTCTCTTTAAAAGAAACATGTGCAAAGGCTCAACCCCCTTCCAGAACACACACACACACACAGTAGTCATAACACTAGCACAAGGCTAGGAATATAAAACAGAGTCCCAGTCACAAGTTTTACAGACTGGCCTTTATCCTCTTCTGCTGTTTGTTGCTGTAAAAAACTTGTGATGAAAGTGCATGTAATAAAACCTGGCCTAGTGCTTCAGATATTGAAAAATGAGTTACAGTTTTGCCCGAATGCACAATCTAAAGTGGCAGAAAAATGTACATTCCCCCTCGCTTAGATTTTCCATCAACCCTTAGAATCCAATTCCTGTTTTTCTAAGGCACATACTGTACCTTACCCGCTGTATTATTACATGATATCTCAGTCAATGCAATGACACAAAAGAGGTAAAGGTTTCCTGTCTATTTTCACCAGCAATGCTACAAATGTATCCAGTAGAAGACATTTAAAGACTTCCCAACAGCAGTCACGGCTTGGTCACAGCTCAAGGGAATGACATTTCAAAAAAACAGCCCCGTGATGCCCCAAAATGGCAATCAGTGAGAACGTGAAAACGACATCACGTCACAACTCAAGTCAGCGTTATGGCTAAAAATAGTGGACCTAAACAAACGGCTATGTCTGTGAGCAAATGTAACATACGGTACACATGAAAGATGCTGGACCCAACATAAAAATAGCTGAGATATTCAGTGGTCTCAAGTGGGCAGTGGAATGTTCTGTTCTGGACTGTCGACAGTATGGTGGGAAAAATTCACTAAGGTGTCATGGAGACTTAAAAAAATGCAACAATTAGCAGGAAATCAACCTAACACCCTTTAATTATCTTGTTCTGCTTTTCTTTCCGCTCTCACAGTTTCCCCACCTGATCATATATCCAGAAATGGTCAGCAGCCCTAGCAGAATATTAGCTTCCTTTTTCCCAGTGCACCATCCTGATTTAGTAAGTTGTACCTCTTATCAGCACTCTCCCTATTCTGCCCTATCCAGTCTTTATTTCAGCTACAATCCAGTCATCTCTTTATATCCGTCACCATAACAACCACAAATGTTCTGACAGATTTTCTGGCACTGCAGTGAGAGGTGAAGCCTCAGAGGGAGAGAGTGAGAGAACAGACACAGAGAGAGAGAGTCACCCACCCACCCAAAAATCGTGCACCAATAAATGTACACTATGTTCCCAGATCATGTGAGATGCTTGATTTCTAATACAACCTTGCAATCCTCTCCTGACTCATACATTCATTTATCTGTGCTCTGCACCGCCGCCAGACATGCAGATCAGATCACACTGAAGCTATTATAAAGCAGACATCACAAACAAATTGGTCAGCACAACCTAATATAGACAGGACATCGTAAAATTTGCATGTCAGTAGCTAACATCAGTCACATTAGCCCATTGTCAATCAAAAAGACAAAGTAATCATAAGTGGATCATTAATAAATTTGATAAGGGTAACACCTCTCTCCGCCTCTCACCATTCAAGTGCTGTAACTCCTTTTGTTTACTGTGCTGACTACAGGAAAGATGGTTGCAGTACAGCAGCAGTTGCATTGTCATGTAGTGGTCTGAACATGGCTGAGCTGCTGCTTATGTCCACAGCCCTACAGGAGCCATGCCTTCTTTAGTGTTCCGTGGAGGCAGCAAGTTTTCCCTACACAGGAACTTTAAGGGGAAATGGACCAGCACTCCTCGGATGGCCTTTAGTTCCTCTTTGGCCTGCTCGGGGTCTGTGTCACAGAGGCGAGCCACATTTAAATAGTCCCTCAGGGCTTGCATGCTATGGACACTGTTGCAGGGCAGGCACTTGAACACCTGTGATACAGTAGGGCCACAGAGCCAAGAAGAACAAAGAGCGGTGAGAGAAGTGAAAATACATATTGATACAATTAGATATATATATAAAAAAGTTTTTGGTTCAATTCACACCTTGTCATAAATGTTAACATTCGTTTTAGCAGTGTAATTCCAAACCAAGAAGAAGAACTCATCACTGATTGGATCGTCAATATTTATACTGGGGTCTGAAGCAGCTCCAACAAGAACCCTGGTATAGCAAAGAAAAGGCCAAAAATATTCAAATAACAGAAAAAAATATGGTTAAGTAATGACAAAACTGCACAGGTTTCCCATGCAGGATCAAATATTTTTGCTTGTCTGTGTGTAAAAAGAAGCCCATATACTTAGAGGTCTCACTCTCACATTTGTATCTGGTAGCAAAACTACATTAGACTATAAGTTGCTAATAAGTCATCAAGAGGCTTTTGCCCTGACCTGAAGCACTCTTTGCGTAGAGCAAGTGTCAGTGGTCCTGCCTGGTATTCCTCCCCTCCCATGATGGATGGGACCCTCTCTTCATCTTCCACAAAGACTGCCAACTCACTGTCTCGGGAGCCCAGCATGCTACGGTCATTAATGTTGGCTGATCCTGGAGCAAAAACGGACAGTACAAGCATTTACAGTGTGTCTATTCAGAAGCATGATTCATGTAAAAAATAAAATAAATAAATAAATAATTATATATATATAGATATATATATAT